AATCTCATGTTGAAACGTGATCCCCAGTGTTGGAGGTGGGGCCTGGTGAGAGATGTTTGGGTCATGGGGGCAGATTCCTCGTGGCCTGGTGTGGTCCTGACCACAGTGAGTGAGTTCTCATGAGATGCGGTTGTTTAAAAGTGTGCGGCCCCTGCCACTACCCACCTTCCTCCCACTCTCGCCACGTGACGTGCCTGCTCCAGCTTCGCCTTCTGCCATGAGTAAAAGCTCCCTGAGGCCTCCCCAGAAGCCAAGCAGATGCTGGTGCTACTTCCTGTGCAGCCTGCAGAACTGTGAGTCCATTAAACCACCTTTCTTTATAAATTACCCAGCCTCGGGTATTTGTTTACAGCAACACAAAAACAGCCACACACACCAGGAGTCCCCTTCTGACCTTCTCAGTAATCCCCCTTTCTCAAGACAGAGCTCCAGAGACTGAGCGGGTGGTTCTGTTCCTCTACCCATTCCTCCCCACAGCTTCTCCTTTCCAATATAAACATTCCCGAAGTAATCATTAAAATGACTTCTGTGATTTATATTTCCTTCCCTTCCCTCAAATACAGCAATGTTTTGTTTGTGTGCTGTCATCTGAACAGCAATCCGGACGAGTCTGAAGATGTGGGGCCCATTCTAGACCCCAGCAGCTCTGTGACCTTCAGCATTCTTCTCTGAATAGATTCTGAGGTCGCAGTGGAAGCAGGTGGGAAGAAGTGTCCATTCTACTTTGGAACTCTCGCATCTCACAGGAAAGCTGCCCCTCACTGCTGGGATCCCTGAACTGTCTACATGGCTAGGGAGTGCCTCCTCCTAGGTGGGGTCCCCCCTTTGTGCTTGCTCATGAAGAAGCATGCCACTAACACCCCACAGAGGATAGCCAAAGGCCCAGCCAAGCCCAGGTGAGGCCACACATGAGATCTACTCCCAGCACCTGAGCAGGGTCACATGGAGATAATTTACCAATGCCAACGACATCACCCACCGGGTAGTCCCATTCTGTGCCAAGCCTCCCTAAGGGCAAGCAGCAAGGCAGCCAATAGGTTGTCGCCCAGACAATAAATCATAGACCACATTGTGACTGTTTTTGTAGAAGTAAAGCTCAGGAAGAGAAATGGGTTCTGACTGAGCCAATGTTCTGACAGAGAACATTCTTAATAATTTTAGATACATGTTGAATTTCGAAAATAGATTTTTTTCCCCCAAAGCCAAACTTGTATGTACTGGCACTTCTCGCAAGTAGTTATAACTACAAATTTCTCTCACAATTCCTGGAACATAACAATGAACAAAGGAGAAACAAGGAGTTACTATCACTCTTTGTAACCCAGGAGACTTTACCTAGAACCCTGTGGTCCCAGAGAAAAGCCTGTTCCCGGTGCCCTCTCACTCTGCCCTCTGAGTCCATTTCCCCAAACCTGATTTCCCAAAGGAGGTAGAGCCTCTGGTGGTTGACCCCAGACCCCAGGAAACATCAGGAAACACACTCGCATGGCTTTTTATGGTGGACAAAGCACTGCTGTTGGCTCAGTCTTCCTAAGTGTCCTGTGAAGTAGATGTTACAATGCCAGTTTCACAGACGGGGAATTTAAAGGACACATCCAAGGTCACAGAGCTGCTAAGTTCTAGAATGGACCCCCATATCTTCAGATTCTCTGTCTACTTGCTGTTTGGATAACACTGGCACAAATCCACATGTGTTTGAGGAAAGGGAAGGAAACCATCCGAGTAGTCATGTTTAACCTGCATCTGAAATCTAACTAAATTAACTAAGACTCTTCTATCCAGGAAAGAAAAGACTTGTATTGGGATTCTGACAGATTACATTATTGGCTCAAATTCTTCTTCCCTCTCTGTTGCCACACCCTTTGACATAGGACTCTGCAGTTCCTTGTAAGAAAAAGACAGAATATATTTTCCCATTCCTCAGTTCGGTGAGGTATTAAGGCAAAGCGACAAGGTGCTGGCCCCAAGACTAGGGCTCAAGAGCCTGGCATGCTTCCAATTGCTCTCTGATGTCCGTCCTGTCACCATGAGAAGAGCACGCTTGAGCTGGCCCACTGGTCCCAGGAAGAGCGTAAGAGTTCCATGGTACAAAGATGCCCCAGCTGAGACGCCCAATCAAGCCCAGCGGAGCCAGTCCCCTGCCAACCTGCAGCAAAAACTCCTTAACAATTAGACTGGTGCAGGCCACCTGCCCCTGTAGGAATTGGTACAGAGGAACTCCTAACCCCTCCATCAGGGAATTCCTATATTGAAAGAGAAGTTGGAACACACTCACTGTTCCAGACTTCGGGATTTTACGAGTGAGTAAAGTTGGAAAAAAAAAAAAAAAAAGCAGGGGTGGGGGAGGTCCTGGGTTGCTAACTTTTTGCTTTTTCAAGCAAAGGCAATATATAAAATTAACCATGACTTACTATCACCATCAATTCATAAAAGATAGGACATTTTAACACTAAAACTGAGGAAAGGATATAATCTTAGAATATGACACAATCCTTTCTAAGCAAAGTTACTTGGCCACCCTCCATATGTGAGCCTTTTTCTTTCCTTCTGTCACAGATCAATGAAAATTCTGTCACCAAATAGCTCCAGCCTATGTAACAGCAACTTTTCTGCACGCTTTATGGTAGAACTGTCAGAAGAACATGAAATTAGCTACATAAATTATGAGACTTAAATCTTGGTTCTGTTGGTTCTGTGACAACATAAAAGTTACCTTAAAAAAAAAAGTCAAAGAAGAAAACAAAGCTAAAAATAAATTTGAGCACCTCGGTCGTACCTTCTCCACTGGCTACCAAAGGCAGTTGGAGCACCCGGCACAGCTGCCCACCCTCACCCACGTGCCACTCCTGAGTGACACTCCGCAGCTCCCTAAGATGCCAGTGCTGCACTTCCGTGACCATAGTAACGTCTGAATAAAAAGCACAGTGGTGACTTAATGGAAGCTCTACCGGGGCTACAGGGACACATAACTGGGACAGAAGGGAGAGGCAGAGAATCCCCAGCACCAGCTCCAGGGACACATGGCTCAGTCAGCCATGAGTGCTGTCTTCTCTCTGAGCCCTAAAGAGCCAGTGCAACCTTCTGCCAGATGTGTGGTGACCTGGGAGAAGAAAGAGGTCTGAAAGTGGACGGCGGTCACAACAGACTAGATTATCCTTCAAAACTATCCACTGTAACGTGGATGCCACATTGGCTCTGGCTAACAGAATGTGAGTGACAACCTCACGTCAGTGCCCTGCAAAAGCTTTAGGAGCCAATGTGTGGTTCTCCAAGTCTCTCAGTTCCTTCTGTATTGAGATCATCACGTTTTCTTTTTTTTTTTTTTTTTTTTTGAGATGGAGATCTCACTCTTGTGCAGGCTGGAGTGCAATGTTGCAGTCTCGGCTCACTGCAACCTCTGCCTCCCAGATTCAAGCAACTCTCCTGCCTCAGCCTCTGATCCCCTGGGATTACAGGGTCTGCCACCATGCCTGGCTAATTTTATATTTTAGTAGGGAGTCAAGTTTCACCGCCTGGCTAATTTTTTTTTATATTTTAGTAGAGACAAGGTTTCACCAGGTTACCCAGGCTGGTTTCGAACTCCTGACCTCAAGTGATCCTCCCTCCTCAGCCTCCCAAAGTGCTAGGATTACAGGCATGAGCCACCGCACCCGACCGACCATCAGCATTTTCAATAGAGGCAGCTCCTTCAGGCTGAGGCCCAGACTAAAGTCTGTAACCAACTCCCAAAGGGCACGTAACATGGGTAAGAAATAAACCTTGACTGGTGGAGGTCACTGAGACTTCAGAAGCATTTGTGACCGAGGCATATCCAATCTGACCTACGTGACATGGATGCTATTCACTGGGTTGGAGAGCTCAACAGCAGTGGCAACAGGGGAAGGTAGCAAGCCCGTCTTGGAGGCATTTCTGTACTTGGTCCCTGGGTGAGAGGCAGGAGTGAGGGGTGAATACAGAGATGCCTAAGACATAAGGTCCCTGACCTCACCAAGCCTAAGACTGGCTGGGAAGGCTACCCTGACCCACACATGTGTGGCTCTAGATTTTCAATGCAGAGAAGCAAGGGCTGTTCTTTGGAACTGGAAAGCCTGGGATCTAATCCCAACCCAGACATTTTCTTCCCACCTTCATCCATTCTTCCCATGGATACTTACTAAGCCAGGGACGGGGAAAACAAACAAGGTCCTTAACCTCACAGGCTCACATTCAGGTGGGAGGACAGACAATAAGAAAATCTGATAAACACCAACTGGGCACACTCTCTCCAGGAAATGAGCAGGGTGAGCTGAGGGACACTGGGGAAGGCTGTTGTAGGTAAGGAGTTCAGAAAAGGCCTTTCTGAGGAGGGGATGTTTGAGATGGAAAATGAGAACGTGTCAGCCATGCAAAGAGCTGCCGAAGAACAGAAAACGTGAGTGGAGCCACGGCAAGCACAAAGCGTCTGAGACGGGAAAGAGGATGGCTTGTTTGAGGAACAGAAACAAGGCCAGAGTTTTGGAAACAACGTGGGCAAGGAGGGGCTTTCAGGGAGCCACCCTGCCCTAATAGTCTATGTTTAGGTGATGCTGACCTCTTCATTCAGCCATCTGTCATCTAATCAACAAGCACGTATCCAGAGCCTACAGTGTGACAGGCTGTGGCCAGGATCCGGGGATAGGGGTCCTGCACACCAGGAACTCATGCAACTCTCAGGGCTCACTGTCTTAGGACCACAAAGAAGATGCCTCTGAGGAGCCCTTGATGGCTACGGAGGCTGCGAGGTGACGGCAGTGGGCAAGAGCCATGGTCATCCCTTCCCAGAAGAGTTGGGAGTGCCCGTTCAGCATCCCTGGGGCCTGCAGCCTCCTGGACTCCCGCTGGGAGATATCGGGGGCAGAATGGAGATTGCATAAAGTCCTCTGTGCCCTGATTATAACAGTCCTTCGGCAACCCTCCCCAACCCCAGAGAGAGGCAAGGATGTGGAAATCATCTGGCACAGGGCCCAGAAAAATGGTCCTACCATGGAACCAGGGGGCGATGAACTTGGTGTTCCTCTCGAAGCCAGCTCGGCGAGGCAGCTGCTCCTCCTTAAACCAGCGGACGATGACATCTCTGGAGACTGGGCGCAGCGGGCGCTCCCAGGTCCTGCTGAAGAGAGAGAAAGCGGGGAGGGCAGAAGATTGAGGAAGGAGAAAGAGCAGAGGAGGAGGAAAGAAGAGGGGAAGGAAGGAAAGAGGAAAGGGAGAGGAAGGTAAAAGGAGGAGGAGGAAGGGGGGTGGAAGAAGGGGCAGGAGAGAGCCATGAGAGAATGAATAAGCACGGTGCCCACATCCATGCCTACAAAGAGGATTAAAACAGCCCAAGTATTTGAAGGCATTTTGTAGATTATAATGTACCACCTGTTATTGTTTATTTAAAAGAAAACTGTTACCGATTGCTTCAAAAAACAGCCACACAGTTGGGAATGAAAAAAGGCTAGGAGGGGGTGTCTGAGGGAAAGAAAAGGCACATTTTCCCTCGAGCATGGCCAGGGCATAAATACCAGCATGGATGAAGGAGGCTCCTGATGGAAAGTAACTGAGTGTGTCCCATCCCCTTCTCTCCCTCAGAAAGAATTCTGGGTCTTATCCCCTCCTTACCTCTCCCTCCCCGCCCTCTGAGGGGATGCCTGCTTTTGCCACAACTCCTGTGCTTTTGCAAGGCAGAACCAGGACAGTGAACAGAGAGAGAAACCGGAGAACCTCAATTTGCTCTGGAAATGGCTGAGATTCCCTGCCCAGAAAATAAAAAGTACATGACAGAGGAAACGGAGGCAGAAGGAAACAAAACTGCACACTGGTTACTACGGATGGAATGGATGAGGGACTGGAGGCATGGAGGGCAGGAGGAGGGGCACGGGAAGAGTTCAGACGAGGGAGTAGATACGTTTTAAAGTTTTCTCACAGGTGAGCCACGATTGTCACCGTTATCGTGTCTGAACTGCGGTTCCCAGATGCGTACACAGACTGGGCGAAGTGAGACCCCACTGCACTCGGGCTACACTGAAAGCATAGTAAGAGCTGGCAGCACACGACACGTGACAGGCACCCACAACTATGTGGTGAAGTACAATGCAGTAACACCATGGTGCATGAAATCATGGCACAAAACTACAGCATCTGGGCCAGGTGCGGTGGCTCACACCTGTAACCCAGCACTTTGAGAGGTCAAGACCAGTCTGGCCTGGTCTACTCCCTCATCTAAACTCTTCCCGTGCCCCTCCTCCTCCTGCCCTCCATGTTGTCAGTCCCTTACCCATTCCATCCGTAGTTACCAATGTGCTGTTTTGTTTCCTTCCGCCTCCGTTTCCTGTGTCATACATTTTATTTGCTGGGCAGGGAATCTCAGCCATTTCCAGAGCAAATTGAGGTTCTCCAGTTTCTCTCTCTGTTCACTGTCCTGGTGCTGCCTTACAAAAGCGCAGGAGTTGTGGTGAAACCCCATCTCTACTAAAAATACAAAAATTAGCCGGGCGTGGTGGGAGACACCTGTAATCCCAGCTACTCAAGAGGCTGAGGCAGGGGAATCGCTTGAACCCAGGAGGCAGTGAGCTGAGATCGTGCCACTGCACTCCAGCCTGGGCAACAGAGTAAGACTCTGTCTCAAAATAATAATAATAATAATAATACAGCATCTGAAGAACAAGGCAACAGCCCACCTTGAACAACCACAGCCTCTTCGCCACTTCCAACTGAGTGACAGGAGCCTGGTAAATTCTTATTTTGTTGTTGTTATCCACCTAATAGTACTGGCATTTAGAATTCACGGTTATCCTTGTTTTTTATAAAATCAATGTCAGCTGTCCTCTCATGTGGTCTACGTATTTGCCCTGCACCCACATTTTGACACTGTGCTCAGTGTACCTCCTTACAAGCCCAGAATAAATCCACAGGGCATTTCTTTACTCGCCCTAAACTGAATACACTCACATATGCACACGCATGCGCACACACAGTAGCAGACACTGTAGATTTGAGAAAAGACGTCAGAAGGACAGAGGGTGAAGTTACATTGCACAGCTTACAGCCGTCATCGGTAGAGTTGACCTCCACACCCTGTCTTCCCACTCACTGCCACTCTGGACTTTCCTTTACCCTCTACAGCCCTACAGTCAGCCGGCCTATGTTCCCAGTCCTCACACTCTTCCTTCTCATAAGTTCAAATGTCTTTCTTCTTCATTAAGCAGTGCAGGGCAGCCTGCTTCACCCAGCCTCTTCCTCCACATTTGCATCCCCCAAAAAATAGCTGTGCTTGGTGGGGAAAAACTCCTTCAGTTTCTAGGACTCGCTTTCCTTAGAAGGCAATAGGAAGTTATATATAACAGCAAAAAATAAATTCACACACTCTTGTCCCTCTGTTTCTAAGCAGTCGATTTGAATTCGTTTCTAAGCAGGGAATCTGACTCCCCCAGAACATAAATGCTACATTTATATACCTTAAAATTTTGATCATTCTATATAAATTAGATCGTTCGCACTTCTTCTTTTTTCTTTTTCAGCTAATCTATGGCGTTTTCCCCTGTTATAAAGCCTTCAAAGAAGTCACTTTTAGTTACACAAAACATTCCAATGAGTTGACTTAACCAAAATTCACTTTAAACGATTACATTGCTTCTGACTTTTTGCCATTATTAATAATGCTATGATAATCATCTTTGCACTTTTTCCAATTTGCAGATAATTTCCTTAGCATAGATTCTAGCAGTGAAATTACTAGCCAAAGTCATACCAGCAGCCTGGGTAAAAAGATATGTGAGCAGCTTGTGTATTGGTCCACAAGAGCTGACTGTTAAATTTTCAGGAATTTTCTAAGCCAGTTAAACATAGACATCATTAAAAGTTAAATGTAATAGGCCAAGCACAGTGACTCATGCCTGTAATCCCAGCACTTTGGAAGGCTGAGGTGGGCAGATTACCTGAGGTCAGGAGTTCGAGACCAGCCTGGTCAACATGGTCAAACCCTGGCTCTACTAAAAATACAAAAAATTAGCCAGGTGTGATGGTGCGCACCTGCAATCCCAGTTACTTGGGAGGCTGACGCAGGAGAATCACTTGAACCTGGGAGGCAGAGATTGCAGTGAGCCAGGATCTGACCGCCACTGCACTCCAGCCTGGGTGACACAGCAAGACTCGGTCTCAAATTTTGTTTAAAAAAATTTAAATCTAATAAATATACAATTAAATAAAGTTTATTAAAATAAGGATAATAAATACTCAAAACTCAAAACAAAAAAAGCATATAAATACTAGATGTGTATTCTAGGAGGCCACTTGGCCCAAAGCCTCACTCCTGAATCTGAACCTCTCCTCCCATCAGCGGCACGCATCTGCCCTCAGCACAGACAGACGAGGTGTGCTGGCAGGCACCAGAGAGGTGAGAGCAGTGAGGCCATAGGGACCCACCCCATGGGGCCGCCACAGGAGAGAGGCTGGTAGGAAGGCCTTCTCACTGCCTGGGCCTGCTGCCCTGTGTGCACAGCTGCTTGTCCCCTATGAGGCTCCCTCGGGAGTGAGGCCACTGCTCCCCTATTGGCTGCACACAGCCAGCCCAGAGCCAGGCTGCACCATGGTCCATGTGGCTCCATCAAATGGGCCTGAGGGAAAATGTCTAGGTTTGTTTTAGAAAGCATAGATGGGAAGAAGGCTTTTCTAACTATGCCCTCAAATTTAGAAAATATAAAAGAGGCCAGGAGCAGTGGCTCACACTTGTAATCCCAGCGCTTTGGAAGGCCAAGGCAGGTGGGTCACCTGAGGTCAGGAGTTTGAGACCAGCCTGACCAATATGGTGAAACCCTGTCTCTACTAAAAATACAAAAATTAGCCGGGCATGGTGGTGCGTGCCTGTAATCCCAGCTACTCAGGAGGCTGAGACAGGAGAATCGCTTGAACCTGGGAGGCAGAGGTTGCAGTGACCCAAGATGACGCCATTGCACTCCAGTCTGGGAGACAGAGTGAGACTCTGTCTCAAAAAAAAAAAAAAAAGAAAATATACAAGAAAATTTGACCTTGTAACAATCAAGAATTCGTGCACGACAAAAAATTTCATCACGAAAATCAAAAAATAAGTGCCAAACTGAGAAAAAAATGTTTATCACAGACAAAAGAATCCTCTTCCCTAATATGTAAGAAGTTATTAGATATCAATAAGGAAAAGACAACACAATAAAAAGATAATTTACAACACACTGTGCAGTAGAATACTATGCACCTGTAAAAAACAAAAACAAAAACAAAAAAAAAACCTAAATAGATAATGTAAGAATTGATATGAAAAGCCTTCTAAAAACTAGTTAAATGAGGGAAAGCAATCAAAGTATAGAACTCCATGCATAAAATGCCAATTTTTCTACAAAAAAAAAAAAAGAGGAGGAATAAGGCCTTTCATGATGGTAACTGCAAAAATAAAGTGAGCGGATACATAAAAAACTAAGAACAGTAGTGACCTCCGGAAGACGGGGGAACAGAGTAGACGGAGGGAGAGAGGGAGTCAGCCATTTCTCAGTACACCTTTTTAAACCTTCTGGTTTGGGAATCTTATACTTGACAAGAAAGGAAAGGGTGAGAAGGTGGGAGGGAAGAAATGAAGACATCATCAACCGTCCCTACACTGTAGGCAGAGGGAGAATAAAGTTATGAGTAACCCCAAACCCCAATTAAAGCAAAACTCAGACACCCCTTCATGATCTGGGGGTGACTGGACTCTTCTGCAGATTACCTGAGGTTAAGGGAGCCGCCAGGTGCTCACCACCCAGCCTCTGGCCCTCCTGGGGACAGTGGTTGTTCAGCAATGATCTGGGGACCGGAGCACCCAAGAGGAGAGAGGCCAAACCTTGGGGCTGGCCTAAGGTGGGGGCAGGTAGAAGGAAGAGAGGCTCCCTGCAACCTCTTAACCTTTGGTCCTGGCAATTTCGGACAGTCATCTAAGTGCCCTTGCAAACCCTTAGGAGACACAAATGTGTGTGAGGACCCGCCTGCATCCAACCATGCTAAACTGCAAACCTACTATTCCAATTAGAGAAAAACCGGCTTGCCTGGGACTCCGAGAGTCATCAAGCCCTGTGTCCAGGCTGCCCGGCCATGCTTCACCCATCTGAAGGCTCATTACAAGTTCTTAGCCTGGGGCCCTTAGAGTCTCAAACTGTATGCAAACATTCTAGGTCTTTATATCTGCAAATTTGAGGGGGAAGAAGGTATACAGCTTTCTTCAGATTCTCAAAGGAATCCTTGACCTTAAAAAGGTCAAAGCTCGTAGGGGTGCGATGGCTCAGGCCTGTAATCCCAGTACTTTGGGAGGCCGAGGCGGCAGTATCACAAGGTTAGGAAATCGAGACCATCCCGGTTAACACGGTGAAACCCCGTCTCCACTAAAAAATAAAAAAAAAATTAGCCGGGTGTGGTGGCGGGCACCTGTAGTCCCAGCTACTCGGTAGGCTGAGGCAGGAGAATGGCGTGAACCTGGGAGGCAGAGGTTGCAGTGAGCTGAGATTGCAACATTGCACTCCAGCCTGGGCGACAGAGCGAGACTCCGTCTCAAACTAAAAAAAAAAAAAAAAAAAAAAAAGGTCAAAGCTCTCAGAACTCCAAAGTTATTACAAATCTCCAACTCCCACACCTCTCCTCCCTCTCCTACCCCAGACTAGGGCTGAGGTCCAGAGGGGAAATGCTAGCCCCAAACTACACAGCAAATCTGGGGCAGAACCGGGACTGGGACCCCGGTGTTCCATGCCCTAATCCAAGGCCCTTGCCCCAACCACGCCAACGTGGAGCCTCGACCCACCTGACCGGCAGGGCGAGGGGCTGCGGAGGACCCGGCCCGGGGAGGTGGTGGTAGAGTCTTGCCTCCTGCTCATGGCTCTGGCCGAGCTCCCGGAACATGGAGCTGAGGCCGGCGACCGTGCCCTTCTGGATAGCACGGAGCGAGTGGCGTCGGTACTCGTCTCGGGCGCGCTGGGCTCGGCGGCTCCTCTCCTCATCAGCCGCCTTTGACCGGCGCACTGGAAACAGGAAAACAGCGCGTTAGCCCAGATCCGCAGCCCAGGCAGTGCATTAGGCCAGCTGAGACAGGATGTATTCGGTTGGTGCAAAAGTAATTGCAATGTAGTGGCAAAAAATCGCGGTGACTTTTGCACCAACCTAATAGTCCAAGAACCTCAGGATTCACCTGGCTGCAAGGAAGCTCAGAACCCAGAATCACAGGCAGGCCCCGCCCACCCCTAGCAGCAGCCCTAGGGCAAGCCTGTCCCTACAGAGGTAAAGATACCCTGACAGTTTAGGGTTGTCTAGTTGTTCCTGTGACGCCATTCCAGAATGGCCAAGCCACCTTGGAGTTGAAATTTCCATCTCCCTATGTATTTCTTCCTGGGAGTGTCCTGCTCAGAGCAGCTCCTCAAATCCTCTGCCCACTCAGCTCACCTGTCAAGGTGGCCAGCATCTCCAGACACCACCACCGTCACCCTCATTGACAGTGCCAAGTCCTGGGTTTGGAGCCTTCCCTGCATTATCTAAGGGACTTCCCTCAACCACCCAGGGAGGACACATCACTATTTCTGCTTTATGGGTGAGGAAACCAGCCCCTGAGAGGTTAAGTAACTTGCCCAAAGTAAATCAGCTAATAAGGAGCAGAACCTGGACAGAAACCCAGGTGTGCCCGGCTCTAAAGCCCACACAGTTCTTTCCCCGCCATGGCCCCATCACTCAAGCAGCTACCTTCGATTTAAAACCCTGTGTATCTGACACCAGAGCTCTTTCCTATTAAAAAACAAAGCAGCATTGAAAGACCATCTGGCCCAACCTCCTCATGTCATTCATGTGGAAACTGAGGCCCAAGGAAGGACAGCAATTTGCCCAACTGGGTAAGTGGACCAGGCCAGGAACCGTCCTTCCTCCTACTGCAAGATGAGTTGTTGGAAACACTAGTGTCCCAGTTCTGGAGCTCCTTCTTGGTTTCCCATGACCTTGACAGCTGGTAGGTGAGTGTATGGGCGGGGAGGGGGAAGAGGATCTTTTGATAACTCCAACAGCTTACAACACCCCAAGACACCCAGCTCGCTAGCCCTCTGTATTCACATATACATATATTAATGTAAGTATATATATTCATTTTCTTGAGATAAGGTCTCATTCTGTCACCCAGGCTGGAGTGCAGTGGTGCGATCACAGCTCACTGCAACCTCGACCTCCTAGGCTCAAGCAATCCTCCCACCTCAGCCTCCTGAGTAGCTGAGACTACAGGTATGCGCCACTATGCCCATCTAATTTTTTAAATTTTTTGTAGAGATAGGGCTTCACTATATTACCCAGCCTGGTCTTGAACTCTTGTTCCCACCTCGGCCTCCCCAAAGTACTGGGGTTATAAGAGTGAACCACCATGCACGACCTCTTCCATCTTTTTGTGCTCCTCAGGGAAGGGTCCTGTCTCAGCCAAGTGGCCTTGAAAAGATATCTGTGCTTCTAAATCTCAAAAGGGAGGTCTGGGACCAGGAAAATGCGGGAAAGGGAACAAAACCCATTACAGGCAAATTCTGGAATTAAAACCAGTTATTTTGTAGTCTCATTGCATCTTGGCAGGCCCCTATCTGCCTCTAAAATCCAACTATTTTGCAAAAACCTCTTGCTGGCTTTGTTCTTCTAATTGTACCAGGCTAATGCCCCAGCCCCAGTGGGTCACCTTCTCTTCTCAGAGTAAAATCTTAGTCTGTTTCTACTCCAATGCCACTCAACACATGCATAGCAGGCACCTACCAAGAACTGTGCTGTTAGTATTCGCAGGATAAAGGTCAGTTGCCCTGTTCCTGAAAGAAAGCATTTCTACTTCATGAGTTGTCAAAAAACGCTTTCTGGGAACAGAACATCTCCCAGATCTGAGGAAAGCAGCATGAAGTCTGTCCCTCAGAAGGTATTTATGGAAGTGGCCCCATGGGTGTCCCATGCAGAATATCCACTAGGCTGTGAACTCCACGAGGGCAGGTGGAGAGTCTGCTTTGCTCTATTCATTGCTGTATTCTAGTGCCAAGAACACGGTCGGCAGGCGATACATATTTTTGTATGACTGATGGAACTCAAGTATTTAGCGCTGCACTAGGCCCTGAGTTGGATACAGAGATAATAGTGAAGGAAATCCTTCTTTCAAGGCACTCAGAGGCAAGCTGGGAAAATAAGACCAACAAATATCTCTAGCATAATGCAAAAAGTAGTGAGCATCATTTAAAAAAGAGACCAATGAAGTACTGTCAGAGTTCAGGGGCAGCAGCAGCCTCGCATGCTACTAGGGAGCTAGCAGTCATCACAGGAAATAATTTGACTGGGTGTGGGAAGATCAATAAGAGTTTTCCAGAGAAAGAAAAGGGAAGAGGCCATTGCAGAGAGAAAACTGAGGTTTCAGTGGTTTGTCACTCCTTATGTTACAAGACTCCAAGACACCCCTCCCTCTGGCCTTCCATTTTCTTGTGTTCTTCAAGGAAGGGTCTTGTGTCTGCTAAGAGGCCCTGAGAAGACATCCATATGTTGTGGCTTCTGAAACTCAAAAGGGAGGTCTGTAAGTTCCAGACCCTAAGAACACCATGATACCTGCCTTGTATTGTTGACGAAAGGCTCCAACAAGGTCAGGATGCCCCGGGATGGGCTTTGCAGACATTTGACTGCAAACTAAAAACTAGAAGCTCGTGCCCTACAAGGACCATGACTTTTGGAAGATTACAGCCCCTGAGAGACAGTGACATTCAGTGACAGACAGGCAGGCAGGTTGCAGAAGGAAATTATATGCAGACTAGGGAGCCGGGTTTTTGGCATTCAGACAGGTGGGGCCCTGAGCCGTTTGTCACACAAAGATTAAACCCATTCTCCTAAAGCCCAACTCTAATCTTACCACTTTCTTCCTCAAAAGGCTTCAGGGGCTCCCACTGCACACAGAATAAAATACAAACACCTTGGCCTGTCAGGTAAGACCCTGAGAAGTGCCCTGCCTACTTTCCTTACTTTCTCAGCTCAGTGGGCTCCTTCCCCAGCACACCCACACACACACACACTACTCTGCACTGTAGCTCCACCACACTCCCACCAAGCTACAGACCTGCCTCTGTGCAGCCGTGTTCACCAACTCAGACCAACCGGCTCAGCTCAGAGATCTCAGGCCCACCCTACTCCCCTGCCCAGACGGAAAAAGTTCAGTGTCCTATAGAATTCAGATGATCCGGTTACATCCTGCAAAGAAACTCCATGTTTCAAACAACATTAATTTGTAGTAATCCCTTGTGTGAATAGAACAATGTCCCTGAAAATTAATGAATAATCCTATAATATGGGGAAAGGCATCAGTAAAGATTTGAATTGTATGTGAATGTGGATGTATTTAAATTCTGCTCCGTGTGATCTTGGGCCACCTGAATTACCTTATCTACACCTTCTTTCCTTGCCTATAAAGTGGGGACCTGACTGAGTTGCTTTGAGACGTAAATGGGACAGTACATAGCAGGCTTGAAAAGCCCTGGCATGGGCTAGGTTTATTAAATATTATCTGTTATTGTCGTGTTTGCTGTGAGATACAGAGGCTGAAATGGCGCCTTTAGAAAGAGTCCGTCCCTGGGTGGAGGTGGGGAAGCGATGTGAGAGCGGAGGGGATGTGTGGAGTCAAGGGCTCCTGTCAGAGAATGGAAAAAACAAGTATGAGTAGGAAAAGCCTCCGACCCCTGGGGAGGGAAAACAGGCAGCTGAGATGCTGAAGGGAATCACACAGGCCTTTTGTGACTCGGCCTGCTGGAGCCATGGTCCCTGGGTGGAAGAATGGGCTTGGCACTCAAGATGAGGTAAGCAAAGTTCGACCACAGCTAAATTTGGGCCTACAGGAAGGACTCTCAACCCTTATCTGAGGCTTCTGAGGTGGGCAGCCAACCACTCCTGTGGTCCTGAACCCTGCGAGCAACGCCAGATGGCTGCCAACAGTGACCCCCTGTGGCCTCCAGGAGCCACTGCAGGAGTTCCTTAAGACCAGAGCACTTCACACCCCTATGAATGTTGTAATGACTCGGCTTGGGGGCTTGGATTTCTGAGCAATTCAAGAGGAAAGAAGACCCTAAGCAGGACACGAATCGGCCACATGGGAGCTCAGGCTAGCATTATTCCGAGTTATAATACCAAAAATATGTGCCACCTAGAGTTTAAGGAGCACTTCAAGCCAGTTATGTCCAAGGAGAAACTGCACGATGTCCCATCCCATGAAGGGATAGAGAAAGCCCTTCGGCTGTCTTCTCCTTCAGCTGTCCTCCCAGTCCAAACTTCTGCTGTGCCCACTCCACTCCCAGTCCAGACTCTACCCCGACAAGCCCCTTGCGGCTCTACCTGTCTCAAGCCTACAGCAGTTCAGTATCACTGACCCCGACTCTGGTGCACACTCTAAGAGGAAAGGGAATGGAACCCACATCACTGGACCCCAAGCTGGGCCTGAGCCCACATTTCCCACTCCGCGCTGTCAACAACCTGGCAAGAAGCAAGACAACCAGTGTGCAGATTGTTGGTTAAAGGCCACAACCGGAATGACACAGGTCAAGGAGCCAGAGGTGAACACAAGTCCCTCTGATGACTCCAAAATCCTGCTTAATCTAACCTGGTATTCTATCCAAAATCCTCCAAAATCTAACCTAGTAACTGCAGCAATGATAAATGTCCAGTTTTTACAAATAATAGCATTTCTCAAGTCAGGCTGGCTCATCTCTAAATCTCTGGGCAACTAGATGTTATCTAACTCCACACTCCTACATGTTCACAGTTGAAAAACTATGAAATGAATTTCTCTGCCTGATGTATTCAGAGTCTCAGAAGCCAGAGCTCTGCTGAATAACTGACTGAATTCTCTGTTGAACGGAATAACTAATGGTATTCAAGTGATACTAAATGGGATAATTTCCTTTTTTTCTAACTTGGAGAATTTAATTTGGGTGTTTTATCAAAAACTGCTGCTCCCCCTTAGATTAATGGGCCACTATATCTTTCATATTAAATT